TGCGAAGCCATGGCCGCTCCCATAGGTGGGCTGCCAGAACCTCGAGGACACAGAAACAACACCCCCGGCTCTGCCCACCAAGCCCAGGGGAACGATCAACGCATCCCCCACGGGTGCCACCGCGACCGCCACCGATAGCGAGCTGTGGGGTGACATCGAGGACCTGTTCGATGGGATCGACGGCTGGGGCACCAGCCTGGAGACGGTGATCGACGAAGAAGAGGGCCTGAGCTCGGAGGCAGTTCCACTCACAACCGCTGCCGAGGGAGCGCCGAGGAGCCCTCCGCCAACGGAGACCCTCCGGAAATCAGTCGAGCACCCGGTTTCCGATTTCAATCCCTGGGGATGGAAGGTGTTTCCCCAAGAAACGTCCCTATCAGCAGGCATGGTGAACCTCATCGAGGGAGAGACCAGGATCTGCCGAGTACGATGCCGCCGAACCCGGTTCCGCATGACGGAAGGAGACCGGCTATACAGCGTCACGTTGAACGCCAGAGGTGACGTGACCGTCATCTGCTCGAAGTAAGGGAGGTGTGAGGCGGCTATTTCAGTCAGCCCACAGTTCTGGATCTACGACAAGGAGCCGTTATGTTGTCATAATTTAATTTGTTTTGTTAGTTTATAAGTATCAAAATAAGATCTTAGCTAAGTAGTAAGAGGCAAGGAGCCAGCAGTATTATAAGTTTTGTTAATTGTAAGAACTATTAGAATAAGAGAGAACCAAACTAAAGGCAAGAAGCCGTTAAGCATCATAGCTTCCTTACAATGTACTCATAAAGTTCTTATATTTAGCATTGAAAATAAGTTTTAAACAAATCGGACAAAACTGAAATTGCCCCCAAAAAATCATTGAGCAGTATATACCGAGCAGTATACCGAGGAAGCTTCGATGCTGCAAAAAGTTTGAAACACGTCTCAACTTAAGTCGCGATCCAAGCATTCCAAATACACAAAACAACATAATTAACAGTTACCAATCACCCCAACGGTATAAGATCCTGCCCCCTATTCTGGAGGACTGGGTATAATGCACAAAAAAATGCGCCACCCTGGGTGACGTCACAATATCCGCTGTATACTGCCCGTTACGTTAAACAACAGTCTTAGGACATGGTTTCTAAAAGGCGGAGACTTCAACGCCAAAAACACACGTGGTGGGTCTCCAGAAACAACAACCCTAAGGCTGCGTGCTTCAGGCGAACCCGCTCAAAGACCTCGACTGCCACAGTACAGGCACACCTACTTACTGGCCCACAGATCCATATAAGGTGCCCAACGTGCCCAACGTCCGACATCGAAATAACTCGTGGTGTGGACCCTGGACGAATTCACGACAGAGAAGTTTAGGCCCTCCTATCTGAGCACAGCGCCATTGCTATCTCCATATTTGCCCCATCTAAAGCCACTGATATTGGCAAATATCAAAACTGGCTGAACAACTGCACCAATCCCAGCCCAGCACTAAACACGCCAGACAAGGCAGCCGAAACTGCACACCAGCTAACTGTACCGAAACGATTCCCGTACATGAAGAGGAGATAACCGAATATATAATTGCGCTAAACAACAGAAAAGCGCCAGGCGATGATGGTATCAATGAAATAGCATTAAGGTTACTACTGCAAAGAAGCAGAAGAACCCTAACGTTCGCGTTGCCACGTACACCGATGACACGGCATTTCCCACCATCGGTGAATCACCAGGCGAGGCTAGCTCACTGATGCAGATGGAATTGAACCTCGTCAACAACTGGCAAGAGCGGTGGAACATTACAGCCAATGGCGACAAGTAAACTGCCACCACCTTTGCACTCCGCCCTGTCCACCAGTTCAACTAGACAGAGTCATAATTCCAGAAGGACCCACGCCATAATATCTAGGTTAGTTGGAATAACACTAAACACGAAACTTACCTGGAGAGCACAACTGTTTAAAAAGCGAGACCACCATGAGAAGCGGCTAAAAGCATACTACTGGCTTATGGGCAGAAGATGAAGGCTTACCACCTTCTCCAAGATTCTGACCTGTATGGCGATCATCAGTCCAATCTATGGAACCCAGCTCTGGGGTACTGCGTGCAGAGCCAATATACGCATTATTCAAACATTTGACAACAAAGCACTACGCATCGCTACAAACGCACACATATACCATGACAACGCCTGGGTAAAGGATGAGATTGCCAAAAGCAGCAGACGATACATTGAGCGTTTACACAGCCATCCAAACACTCTAGCCATTTTTCTGCTAGACAACAGCCAACAAAAAAGAAGTCTCTGCAGAAACCACCCACTGGATCTCCCATGGGATAATATAGCTTTCTGACATTCTACCATTAATTACACATACATTAACTTCAATCAATGAAATACACATAAGCTAAGCACATTATTATACAATTTAATGGTTTTCCAATTAAAACAATAAACACACCCCGCAAAAAAAAAAGAAGTCTCAACTTTCATAACTCCACATCAAATTCCACACTCTTCATGATTATAACAATATGATTTTCTATATGATCCGTTCATTTTAATCGGTCCTTGTCATATAAATACACAGTTTTGTGTAGGCGGGAATTGCAATACATATGTAATTGCAATTTTTTCTTTCCAGAGTTTTATTAACCACAACAATTACTTTTCTTTATTTTGGCATTTTTCAGAGGCAAACCAGTATTTCTATACATTACTCGAAAAAAATCTATACGAATCCTGAAAGCTAATGAACAAATCTATTAATAATTCTGGCACACTTTTTAAATTTAAATAATAAGTTTGCATAAAATTATTTTCAAGAATCTTAGAACCTACAAGATCTATAGACTTGATTTTTGAACGTTTATTGAGAAAATTTCGTAAGTTATAATAGCTAGATTCACCAAACTTGACATGTATCTGCTAGAATAGTATCATTCGTTTTATAGCTGCCGCCACTTCCTCGCTACCACCACAATTGACTTTCTGAAATATATTCTATAGTACAATAATATAGAGATATACTCTTGAATTTTCATCAAGTTCGGTTAAGAAACACAAAAGTTATTAAAGAAAACGAGTTTTCGCAGCCCATGTGTCAGCGACAGCTGGCGCAAAGTGCAAGAATTTCTGTATACATGTACACACACATTGATGCGCGTCTTAATTGAATTCTATCAATAGCATTGCAATTGCGATAGTATTGTATTCTGTGCTGCTATTTTAATTGTTTTTTTTTTTTATCATTAAGACTCAATTCTTGGTGTGGCTGTTGAATAAAAGCGGTTGCAAGTAGTTCGGTATATTACGAGTTCGAGACCTATCGAGGATACAATCTTTTTCTTTTTAAATTTATTTGTATTACTGGTGAATCAAACGAGCGCGTAGCGCAAGCTGCATTTGGTTTTGGTAGATAAGGGGTTACTTGTTTTAATTGGCTCTTAAACGGATAGGAGACAGCATACATTGAGAAATCGATCCAGTTTCCGAACCGCTTTAAAAGTCAATTTACTAGGCTTCACCAGAAGACCGTAACTGGCCGGAACTGAATATCGCCCTAATCAACGAGTTCGAAGTACAACCCCAATATTAGGAGCATCTAAGAGGCCTCTACAAAATAAATTTTAATGGAAATCTACGTTTTAAGTTTTAATCTAAGTTTTTCGAAGAATTAACAAATACGTAGATTGTAATTATTAATAAGTTAACTCTTGGAAATATCGCAAATAGCACTGTTGAGTTACTAATGCTTTTTAGCAACTGTTTTGAAGCTTTCGCCAAAAAATAATGTCAAATTTGGCGTTCCACAGGAACGTTCCTCCTGTAATTCATAGCAGCTGCGAAAAGTGCAAGAGAGGCTTGCCAACCTTGTTTACAACAAACAGCTGTTTCACTAAAACTAAGATTATGACCTCTTCTTATGTTTACATGGATGTTTGCTTATACTGATGATGCGGCTGCTGCAGAATCCAACATACTCCCCCCGTTGGAAGCCTGACTTTCAACAGAATCTTGAAGGGGCAGCAGACACAGCTTGTTTACGGCTTTTCGGATGATTCCAGCCGTTGTCTTCAGATCTGCTACACGATTTACTCCATCCCTCCCAGGGATCAAGTTTTCTACCCTACCAAGTGGCCAACGCACGGGGTGCCGATTTTCGTCTTTAACGAGCACCATGTCGTTAACGCACAACGCTTGTGTTTGAGTGCGCCATTTAGCTCGCTGTTGTAGTGAGGTGAGGTACTCTTCACGCCATCGAGCCCAGAACACCTGTTGTAGCTGTGTCACATGCTGCCAGCCATCCAAACGGTCGTAGTTTAATTTTGTCAAGCCTGGCTCGATGATGGTTGTGGAAGGGCCACCAAGCAGTAGATGAGCAGGAGTCAGGACATCTAGATCTGCTGGGTTCTCTGAAAGCGAGAGTAATGGGCGTGAGTTAACAATAGCTGTGATTTGGCAAGCAAGAGTACGAAGCTCATCAAAGGTAAGTAGAGATCGGCCGACAGACCGATAGAAATGGTGCTTGGCCAATTTCACTGCCGCCTCCCATAGTCCACCAAAGTGCGGAGAAGGGGGGGGAATGAATTTCCACTCGATGTCGGCTAGGCAGAACTGCCGAACTGCTTCCATGTGGGGATCGCTAAGAAAGAGACGTTTCAAATCGACTCATTCTTAGCTCCAACGAAGTTTGTTGCGTTGCCGGGCCAAATCTGACTGGAATTGCATTGAGTGGCGATGAATCGCTTTAAGGCACTCAAAAATGTAGCAGTCTATAGGTCCTAGCTAGCTTTAGGTGCATTGCCTTGCTGGTGAAGCTGATGGGCGGCCTCGTACGAACTTCCGACTTGTAGTAGAAAGGTCCGCAATAATCGATTCCAGTTACGGTGAACGCTCGAACAGCTTCCAGACGCTCCCTTGGAAGACTCGCCATCACGGGCTCGACGAAACTAGGCCTCGCTCTGAAGCACCTCACACATCTGCTGACTGCTTTAGAGACTGTTCTCAACCCACCAATCGGCCAATATTAAAGTCGAATTTTGGCTAGAAGTGCGCGGGGACCAGTGTGTAGATTCCTCTCCTGAAACTGAACAATGAGAGCCAAGGTGATTGCATGACGCCGAGGCAATATAATAGGATGTTGCGCATCATAGTCTAGAGATGAATTGCTAAGCCGGCCACCAATACGGAGGAAGTCACCTTCATCCAGAAATGGTGCAAGAGATGCGATTGAGCTGGATTTTTTCACATTTCCATGAGAGTGAATCTCCTTGATGTCATCCCACAAGTTAGCTCTCTGTACAGCCCAAAGAAGAATCCGAGTGCCGTGATGAATGTCATCAACAGTGAGTCCATGATGCCTTATACGCTTCAGGAATTTGTACACAGAGCCAAATGTGCGCTGCATGGAGCCAAATGAGTTTGTGTGCTTGCATCCTAGAGTTAAATCTGCATGTGGAGACTTAATGATCAGTACTCTTAATTCAATGGTTGGCGTTTCAGGCAGACAGGACGCCGGCCAATTTAGACGACCATCTAATAGATACGATGGACCATGAAACCAGAGCTCTGATTGGGCTAGGACGTCGGGAACTGTGCCTCTAGAAAGAATGTCAGCTAGATTTCTGTCCGTCGGAACATATCGCCACTCCATACTGGTAGTGAGTTCTTGTATGGCAGTCACACGATTTGCCACGAAAACATTAAATTTGAAGGTCTCATCTCTTATCCAAGTTAGGACAACGGACGAATCGCACCAGCAATAAAACTGGCTGACAAAGATGCCTGTGCGCTTGACTTCATGCATCAGATTTGCCAGCAGCTTCGCTCCACATAATTCTAGTTTTGGGACAGTCAATGTTTTTAATGGCACAACTCGAGACTTGGAGCAAAGGATACGGCTTGTGGCTAGAGGACTTCTGGCCACCACGTAGATGCAGGCCCCATAGGCATCCACACTGGCATCGCAAAATCCATGTATTTCAACATCAGCTCCTGCGAAGAGTACCACTCCGGGAAACGACACATGGCGAATGTTGCGAATACTGCTGCACCGCTCCCTCCAGGTTGCAATCGGCAAGCTTTCATCCCAAGTTAATTTGTCTTTCAAAGCTGTTGAAGAAAGATCTTTGCTTTAGTTATGACTGGTCCCAAAAGTCCAAGTGGATCATAAAACCGGGCAACAATAGATAGAACTAAGCGCCTGCAGGGTTTAACAGTAGAATCTAGAACAGAAAATGAAAATAACAACTGGTCGATAGCTGGATCCCATACAAAACCAAGGGCCTTGGTGACATCGCTTCCATCATCTAATTTCAAGTACTGTTCCCTATCTTCATAGGCTATTCCCTCGAGGACTTCTTGGTGACTGGAACACCACACGCTCATCAAAGGCCAACTGGTGCATTGCGCGCACGGACTAAATGATGCCGATTTGGTCCCGCATGTTACTGTATCCAATTTAAAGATTTCGATGTGCTTCTGAGGCGAGTCCCTCCACAGGATGCACTGGAAGTAACTATCAGGCAAAGTCACTCGGACACAGCGATACATTTTGAAAAATGTCAGCTGTCAGTGCAACAGGATATGTGCGCAAGCGAATGAGAATGTGAAACAACTTAGGTTGAATGATTGGTCCCGCCATCAGTACATCATTGAGAGAATGCCCAGAATCAGTCGTCGCTGAGCCATCGAACACAACACGCAACTTGGTTGTGGTACTGTCTTCCTTCAAGACGCAATGATGTGGGAGGAAGTATTTAGAGCAGCCACTCAACTCTGGACTAACTCGCGACATGTGATTCAGATCCAGAAACTCTTTGATGAATGCCGAGTACTGCTCCTTTAGATGCAAAATCCGACTCAATTTTCGCTCAAGACTGAGAAATCGACGATAAGCCTGGCCATAAGACTCTCCTAGAAGCTCTGCACTCCTCTTCAGAGGCAATCGCACTGAATACTCGCCGGATGATACGGGAGAAGTTATTGGCAAAGTGCTGCTTGCATTCCAACTCTTCTTTGGTGGCTTTTACCATAGGCTCTTCCACGCTTACAACTTCCAGACGAACGTCCAACTGACCAGCTTCGCTGTCAGGAGTGAGGCCAGCAGCTAACAACGAGGTACTGAGCAGTCTCTCGTACCCATCGGTCACGACCCAGACAAGACGAGTTTTTTGCAGAAGAGGTAGTTCTGGCAAAAGCACAATTTGCCCAACACACAAAAGCTCATAGAAGAGGCTCGCTCCAATTAAAAGATCCACTCGCTGTGGTTTATTGAACGCAGGATCAGCCAACCTTATGTTCGAGGGAATTTCCCAGTCCGATGTATCGATGATGAAGTTAGGCTGACTATCGGTAATTGTTGGAGTCACGAGAGCATCAAAGGTGGCCGAATAATCTGAGTTTTGTGATTTCATGTGAATTGTAACAGCTGATCCTTCAGTAGAGACGCTTGTGTCTCCGAGACCCATGACAACTGTCGAAGACCTGGTTTTCTTTAACTGAAGTCTTTGTGCGAAATGGGCTGTAACCATGTGCAACTGCGAGCCTGAGTCTAATAAGACCCTACAGGGAACCAAGGAACCAGAGCTTTTCTTTACCAGTACCACTGCAGTGGCCAAGAGCACAACACCAGACTGAAGACCTTGGACAGTAAGAGAGGTAGTGGAGTGAGAGTGTGTCGAAGTGGCACCGGTCAAATCAGACGATGTATGTAATGGTGTCGACGCTTCAGCTTCTGGTGAAGTAGCAAAATGCAGTAGGGTATGATGCTTTCCTCCACAAGTACGACAATGACTACTACTGCAAGACCGAGTTTGGTGTCCCTTCCTTAGGCAGTTATAACAAATTGCCAGTTTCTTGACTTCCTTATGCCGAAGGGATGGAGACAAATTACCGAATTTACTACATGTGTAGATCCCGTGACCAGATGCATCACAAAAGCTGCACCCATTTTGGTTAGTCTCAGCTACAAGCACTCTTTTGCTGTGTTGACATGGCATGTTGCACGCTCTCCAGCCTTTCCTTTCTACGCCTTTCCAGAAATGTGAAGAACTCATCGGCTGTCGGGATATTGTCAATGCCTTCGGACTCCTCCCATTTGGTCTGAGTCTGAGTGTCCAACTTTTGACGCAGCGTGTGCACTATTATGTATCCTGAAATTTGGTCAAAACTGACAAAGAATCTACCCTCTTGAGCCCAAGAATCTCATTTATGTGTGCCTGGAAAACAAGACGTTTGTTACTAAATCTTTTATTTAGAATATCCAGAGCCACACGATAATTGGCACCGACAAACTCCAACGATCGAACCGAATCCAACGCGGGGCCAGACAAACATGAGCGGAGATGTTGCAACTTTTCAATATTTGACAGCTCGGTATCCTTGTCGAGGTATCCTGTTGGCCAAGATCACGGTTTGGTTTGGCGATTCCTCATAACGAACGAAGGTTGAGTGGGACGGGCCGTTAGATTGACGTCGCTGCATATTTACGCGAACTCGAGCTTCAACCATGGCAATCAACTCGTCGAAATCTTCACGTAATTTGCTGCCAATTTCATAGAAATTCAGCTCCTCAAGCGAGTTATGCGCGGCATTAAAGGCAGACTTAGTTTGTGCAATTAACAATAGACGCACTTCTAAGTCGACGGCACAAGAGTTATTAATTTTATCCTCAGATAAATCACTATTGTCAATGCCTTCGGACTCCTCCCATTTGGTCTGAGTCTGAGTGTCCAACTTTTGACGCAGCGTGTGCACTATTATGTATCCTGAAATTTGGTCAAAACTGACAAAGAATCTACCCTCTTGAGCCCAAGAATCTCATTTATGTGTGCCTGGAAAACAAGACGTTTGTTACTAAATCTTTTATTTAGAATATCCAGAGCCACACGATAATTGGCACCGACAAACTCCAACGATCGAACCGAATCCAACGCGGGGCCAGACAAACATGAGCGGAGATGTTGCAACTTTTCAATATTTGACAGCTCGGTATCCTTGTCGAGGTATCCTGTTGGCCAAGATCACGGTTTGGTTTGGCGATTCCTCATAACGAACGAAGGTTGAGTGGGACGGGCCGTTAGATTGACGTCGCTGCATATTTACGCGAACTCGAGCTTCAACCATGGCAATCAACTCGTCGAAATCTTCACGTAATTTGCTGCCAATTTCATAGAAATTCAGCTCCTCAAGCGAGTTATGCGCGGCATTAAAGGCAGACTTAGTTTGTGCAATTAACAATAGACGCACTTCTAAGTCGACGGCACAAGAGTTATTAATTTTATCCTCAGATAAATCACTTTCAATACACTTGGCTCTCTCGAACAATGCAGCCGCCTTGCGCTTAAGAAAGGGCACCCTGTTTGCCTGCACATTACTTTTATTCTCGCCTTGCATCATTTTTTCACAAACGCTAATCGGAACACCAAAATTGTTTAGCTGAAGAACAACGCACAAATATGCGAACTGTGCAGCTGCTTATGTGCAAGCATATGTATATAAGCTGAGCCGGCGAATGACCGCTCAAAGGGAGAGCGCGAAAGTCACCTAGCGGTGTCTACGTATAGGCGAAATTTTGCGATAATTATGGTGGCACTTGAATAATTGCTGTGTTTTTTTGGCATTAGATTTAACACTGTAATATTATATCTCGCCGGGGCCTCCAAAAATGTTGAGTTACTAATGTTTTTTAGCAACTGTTTTAAAGCTTTTGCCAAGAAATAAAGTCAAATTTGGCGATTTACAACAACACGTTATAAAATAGTTTATTTTATCAAATTTACGTAAATTGCCAGATTATTTGGCTGTGGCTCAGAAACGTTCTTCGCTTCGCCTCGATCAACAACAAACAACTGACTAGATAGAAAAAATATGCAATTCATAGCAGCTGCGACAAGTGCAAGAGAGGCTTGCCAACCTTGTTTACAACAAACAGCTGTTTCACAAAAACTAAGATTATGACCTCTTCTTGTGTTTACATGAATGTTTGCTTATACTGATGATGCGGCTGCTGCAGAATCCAACAAGCACATTATTGTATACAAAAGCATTGAACAGCTAGATTAAATATGAAATGAATAGCAAATTGCTAAACAGACAAATATGATATCACTAAGATGAGTAACGACATGCCAGCCAAAGACAAGATAAACACTAAGATGAGTAACGCCCATACATTTGCATGCGACCCAAAATTCCTAGCCTGGTTTCTCATTTGGCTTTTCCTACCTCACACGACATGCCAGCCGACTGGCTGTTCGTTCTCCAAAAGCCTGACGAACGAATGCCGAAGTCGCGGCTTGCTGATGCTGACATGAGCAACGAAGTTAGTCGCCAGCCTGCCTTCAACAAAGCTGGTCGATGGTACTTGGCGTCTCTTCGTTTTCGAAGCACATTGTAATATTAAAAGAACACTAAAATAATAAGAATACTTAAACATACTTAGATTGTCAGGACCAATAAAATATGGTATTCCGGTAATCGATATCGAATTCCTTGTTTTTTGTGCAATTTTGGTAAATAATAAGAGCTGGACTCACCAAATTTGACATGTAGCTTTTTTAATAGTATATATACATCGAATACCTCTATTTATATAGCCATCGTCACCCCTCGCTTAAGCAACATAGATATGAATCAGATAAATAAACAACTTTAAACTACCCCCCCCATTTAAGCCACAATTTTAATGCATTTGTATTTTTGAGAATATTCGAATATTCTTGCATCTTCTAAACAAAATTTGAATATACATACACGCCCAGTTGACTTTCGCCCTCTCCTTTTTCGTCGGCTCATCTTATATACATACCCTTCTACATATGCAGGAGCACAGTTCGTCGCGTTTGTCTGTGTGTGTTGTATGCGTTTACAGTCTTACTGTTTTTGGTGTTCTGATTTAGCGTTTGTCAAAAAGCAATCATGCAAGGCAAGAACAAAGGTGATGTTCAAGCTAAAAGGGTGAATTTTCTTAAATGCAAAGTGTCTGCAATGAAAAGCGTATTGAAAAAAATGTATTAGCAGAGATAATTAATATCCGTCGACTTAGAAGAGTGCAGATTGCTATTGAGCAAACTAAGTCTGCCTAATGCAGCGCATAACTCGCTAAAAGAGTTGCATTTTAATGAGCTTGGCAGCACGTTGCGCGATGTTTTTGATGAGGGGATAGCCATGTATGAAGCTTGCGTTCGCGTAAATATTCGGCGACGTTAATGCACCGTACCACACAGTTCTTTAAGCCAAACGTGATGAATTCGGTACGATCATTAGAGTTTTCCGGTTCAAATTTTCGTGTGACCCTGGATATTCTAAATAAAAGATGTTATAGAAAGATTTTGTTTTCCAGGAAACAATGAGATTGTTGGTCTCAAGAGGGTAGATTACGAGACGGCTTCAAGACTGCGTGAATTCTCCGATAAGGTCAACTTTCATATGCGTGCGTTGCAGGCTTTCGTCAGTATGGATGCACACGCTCAGGATGCACACGCTGCTTCAAAATTGAGTTACAAGGTGCAGGCCAATTTGGAAGAGGCCACATATATTAACAACACCCCTCAGCTGACAACTTCATGGCATTTCTCGAAAGGTGCAGGCAAAAGCTGGACAGCAGGCAACATGATTATAGAAGGATTGTAGACGAGTATAACCAAAATCACTGCAATTTTTGTTATGCACCAATCTACAAATGTAAAAAATTTGAAAATTTGTCTCCATCACATCGTCATAAGGAAGTTAAAAATCTAGACCTTTCATTTAACTGTCAAAAAAAGGACATTAAACTCGGCCTTGCAGTAGTAGTCGTTGTGGTAGTTGTGTCTCGGAGACACAAACATCTCTACTATTGCCACTTAATATGAAGTCACAGCCTTCTGACTATTCAGCCAAATGTGATGCTCTAATGGCTCCGACAATTACATATAGTCAGCCCAACTTCGACATCAATATATCAGATTGGATAATCCTTCCAAACATTAGATTGGCTTATACTTAACAAACCACAGCGGGGCATTCTTTTAATTGGAGCGAACCTCTTCTGTGGTCTTTTGTTTGTTGTTTCGTTTGTTATAATTTTGACAGGATTACCGCTTCTGAAAAAGAGTCATCTTAGCTGGGTCATGACCGGTAGTTTTAAGAGACTGCACAGAACCTCGTTGCTGACGGCTGGCCTCACTCCTTATGGCGATGCTGGTTAGTTGGACGTTAGTTTGGATAATATCATCGTTTTTGTCCCATGGCCTGGCTTTGCATCTTTTTCGCAGCTTAGAATGAAAATTGGGTTGGCATTCGCATTTCCTGCTTTCTGCCCCTTTATCAAGGAGTTTCTAGATTTTAATCACTGGCCGCGAGTTTTTGATGGCTATGCGACGATTGATTCGGGATACTCACTTCCTTATTTTCCATTAATTATCTCGGCGTCATGCAATCACCTTAGCTCATGAAAGGAACCTACATACTAGGCCCCTCGTACTTCTATCCAAAATTCAACTTCAATTTTCGACGATCGGTGGATTAAGAACAGTCTCCAAAGCAGTCAGTAGAAGCGTGCGGTGCTTCAGAGCGAGGCCGAGTCTCGTCGAGCCTGTGATGGCAAGTCTTCCAAACGAAGCCGTTCGAGCGTTCACTGTAACTGGAGTCGATTATTGCATACCTTTCTACTATAAGTCGGAAGTTCGTATGAGGCCGCTCATCAAGTGCTACGTTAGCGTCTTCATCTACTTCACCAGCAAGGCGATGTACTCAGAGCTAGTCAAGGACCTATCGACTGCTTAATTTTTGAGTACGCTAAATCGATTCATCGCCACTCGTGGCGAACACAGCCAGCTTTGTTTCGAAATGTCAATTCACACTCATTACTCTCGCTTTCAGAGAACCCAGCAGATCTAGATGTCCTTATTCCTGCTCATCTACTGTTTTGGTGGTCATCATCGAGCCTAATTTAACAAAACTAAACTACAACCGCTTACATGGATGGCAGCGTGTTTGACAGCTACAACCATCACATCTCCATCACATCGTCATAAGGAAGTTAAAAATCTAAACCTTTCACTTAACTGCCAAAAAAAGGACATTAAACTCGGCCTTGCAGTAGTAGTAGTAGACACAAACATCTCTACTATTGCCACTTAGTATGAAGTCACAGCCTTCTGACTATTCAGCCAACTGTGATGCTCTAATGGCTCCGACAATTACATATAGTCAGCCCAACTTCGACATCAATATATCAGATTGGATAATCCTTCCAAACATTAGATTGGCTTATACTTAACAAACCACAGCGGGGCATTCTTTTAATTGGAGCGAACCTCTTCTGTGGTCTTTTGTTTGTTGTTTCGTTTGTTATAATTTTGACAGGATTACCGCTTCTGAAAAAGAGTCATCTTAGCTGGGTCATGACCGGTAGTTTTAAGAGACTGCAAAGAACCTCGTTGCTGACGGCTGGCCTCACTCCTTATGGCGATGCTGGTTAGTTGGACGTTAGTTTGGATAATATGCTTCGGTGTTTTTGTCCCATGGCCTGGCTTTCTATTTCGCAGCTTAGAATGAAAATTGGGTTGGCATTCGCATTTCCTGCTTTCTGCCCCTTTATCAAGGAGTTTCTAGATTTTAATCACTGGCCGCGAGTTTTTGATGGCTATGCGACGATTGATTCGTGATACTCACTTCCTTATTTTCCATTAATTATCTCGGCGTCATGCAATCACCTTAGCTCATGAAAGGAACCTACATACTAGGCCCCTCGTACTTCTATCCAAAATTCAACTTCAATTTTCGACGATCGGTGGATTAAGAACAGTCTCCAAAGCAGTCAGTAGAAGCGTGCGGTGCTTCAGAGCGAGGCCGAGTCTCGTCGAGCCTGTGATGGCAAGTCTTCCAAACGAAGCCGTTCGAGCGTTCACTGTAACTGGAGTCGATTATTGCATACCTTTCTACTATAAGTCGGAAGTTCGTATGAGGCCGCTCATCAAGTGCTACGTTAGCGTCTTCATCTACTTCACCAGCAAGGCGATGTACTCAGAGCTAGTCAAGGACCTATCGACTGCCTAATTTTTGAGTACGCTAAATCGATTTATCGCCACTCGTGGCGAACACAGCCAGCTTTGTTTCGAAAAGAATAATTGGCTTCGCACTCTTGTTTGTCAAATTACAGCTAATGTCAATTCACACTCATTACTCTCGCTATCAGAGAACCCAGCGGATCTAGATGTCCTTATTCCTGCTCATCTACTGTTTTGGTAGTCATCATCGAGCCTAATTTAACAAAACTAAACTACAACCGCTTACATGTATGGCAGCGTGTTTGACAGCTACAACGGGTGTTCTGGTAAATCTGATTCCTTACAAGGTATCTCACGTAACTGATCTGAGGACCACGTGTGAAATCATTAAAAGAGCCGAAAATAAATTGTGCCTGCTGCCCCTTAGGGAGTCCGTGAAAAGTCAGGCTTCCTCTGAAAAGAGTATTTTGGAATCGTCGTACACATCATTTATGAAAACAGCTGTTCGTTGTAAAAAAGTTGGCAAGTCCTCTTGCACTTGTCACAGCTGCTATAAAATGCATTTTATTTTATCTCATGCACTTTTTCGGTGGTGGTTGATTTAGGCAAAGTTCACAAACTGTTCTTAGCCACAATCAAATAACTTGGATAAATCAATATAAATTTCGGTTAACAAACGCATCATAAAGTGTTGTGAAAAGCAAAATTATTCTTGAAATATTGGCAACTTAACAGGAATTGTTTGTTTGATTTCTGAACTCTTATGGTTTTGGTAGATGAAGGTTCAGGATATCCCCTAGTCGGGAGCTCGTCTCACTTGTTTCTATTAATTTTTGAAGCATCCCACAATAATCCACATTGTTGTTGTTTCCTATAAAGTGTGCAGTGACTTGACGGAAAGAGTTTCAGGCTGAATTTTCATCTGATGACAAGGTGGATTAAAATTAAAGTTTAAGCTAATGTTCAATCGTCTCAATATTATCATCCATCGTTTTAATTGAAATCAAAGACAAAGCGGATCGCACAAGAAAAAACACGTCTTTTTGTTTCTATGGGACTTATTATTTTTTTATTTTTTCTGGTCTTTTACTCCGAGCTCATTGAATAGGAGTAGATCGGTGTTGTTTCAAAACATTGATAGCTTACCCAGCCGCTCGTGCTTGTGCTTTAGACTTTAGACTTACTTGCAGTTGACTAGACTCGGCGACACCCATAGGGTTTGAATATAGTTTTGCATATACCCGTTAACCGTTTGCCCAAATGATCGTTAGTTCTGCGAATGCTTTCATTCTTATGTTGATCATGTTGCTTAAAGGTTTTTTAACGGCGATTGTGTCACTAATCTGCGGGCACAATGTTTTTCAGCTTGGAAAGTGGGTTGCTGTATTTAGCAACTCCTGGATGTAAAATGTGGTCAAGAATTTTTGAGCGAAACTTAAAGTTTCTTTGCATGAAAGTTGATTTTCATCATTGGACTAATATGGATAGAAAGCGTTTGTGTTCCTTATACAATAGACATCAAACTCATTTTCAACTGACTATAAAACTAAAGACATGGAGCTTAAGATAGTTGTGGTATATTTAAGCTTTCCACGGCAGGAAATGGGTGGAATACTTATGTCCAAAATAAAAAATAAATACCACTGACTTTATTATAAAAATTGCGATATATTCCTCTTAAGACCAAATACAGATTAAACGCACTTTTAATACCGTGTATTGTACTTACATTCGCAATTAAATTTGAAATTTTTCTTTGATCCCATTATAAATGGCAATAAAAAAGTTATTGTTTCAGATATATAAGGAAGAAGCATTTTTTTTACAGTTGATATAGCCGATTCTCTTTCTGACAGTAGGCAGTTAGAAATGCTTATTAAATATTCTTGCGATTCCAGCCCTTTATTTATGACATCGACGGAAATTTGAAGTGCATCCTTAGTCGTGGCATCAGTTACAATTCTAGACACCTTAACTTTTAAAGCTTTTTGCTGTGCTGCGTTTTCTCTAAATGGCATTTTAATTTTAATGCTGAACCCTGTGAAAAAAAAAATGTTCTTAGTTGATTAATAATATTAAAGCTCTCCATGGATAAGTCGAATACTCTATAATGTTTGTTATAATCATCACAGAATACCCTGAACGGTTCATGCAAGGCATAGTTGGTTGAGCAAAATTAAAGCGATAAGGTGTAAAATAACGTGTTGGTCTAGTAGGGATAGAGAAATTTAATTGAATTAAATAAATATAACACCATTAATTAAGGAAGGAAGATTAATCATCAAAAGTCCACTGAGGTATGACGGTAACCGCACACGAGGATTCCAAGTGGAACGACGAAGGGCAAACAACAAGAATTGTTTCTGTACGGATCAATTCCGTCTTAATGAAAAGAATATTGTGGCGACGATACATGAATCATACTCTACGAATAGGTCGTACCAAAGATATATAAAGAGTCTCCTTCGACCATCGATTTATGAAACCCTAAACAATTCCTTATTGACAACGGTCTTAACATGTTCTATTGACACGCTCGATCGGTAAGCTATCAAGAATGTAAGAAATCAATTGAGAAGGGCCTATAGAAAGTCATTACCCTACGTTCGGAGCAGCTTAAATTTAATTCAGTCTGGATTTTTTTCTTAAGCCCATCGATTACTAGCGAAGCAAACTCAAGTGTGTTAGTGGTTGTAGATCTGCGCTTCACGAACCCATGCTGGGAAGGTGAAATAATAAAATAGTGTAACGCATAGGAGACATCTCCGACACCATGAAGTATGTATATTTTTGATCAGTATCAACAGCCGAGTCGATATAGCCATGTCCGTCGATCTGTTTCTATGCAAACTAGTCTCTCAGCTTTAAATCTATCGTAATGAAACTTGCAGAAGTCACTCTTTCTGTTGCACGCAACACATATGTCGGAACCGGCTAGATCGGACCAATATATCATATAGCTACTATAGTTTTTGTATGGAAAACTGGATATCTTGACCAATCTCGGCATTTATAAGTTTCACTATGCTCTCTACATTTACGCAAAATCTTATTTACATCGGACCACTATATCATATAGCTGTCATTGAAACGATCGGTCGAAAATTAAATTGTTGTATGGAAAACATTTTTGTTTTTCAAGATATCTTGACCAAACTCGGCATTTATAAGTATCACTATGCTCCCTACATTTATGCAAAATTAATTTACATCGGACCACTATATCATATAGCTGACATAGTAACGATCAGCCGAAAATTAAATTCTTCTATGGAAAACTATTTTTTTTTTATCAATACATCTTGACCTAACTCCATTGAGTCGTTCGAATATTAAATTGTTCTATGGAAAACTTTATTTGTTTATCAAGACATATTGATCAACCTTCATTGAGTAATAAGTATACAGAGAGGGCTTTTGGATCAAAAGCTCTCTCTCAAAATACTTGAATCCAAGATACCGAGTTTGCAAACACAAATTGGAAACAACACACGGCTGTCTACAGCTACTACTGACGTTGCCCAAAATTCAAAGACAACTTCAGAACATTTTCTATTAGAACCAACAGCAACCATAATCAAAACAAGTAAGAAGCTTTAGTCGGGAGCTTCCGACTAGGGGATACCACGAACCCTCTTCTTCCAACACCAAATGCAGCTCGGGCTACGCGCTTTGTTGCTTTAGCAGTAATAACAAGTAACAGACTCTAGGCGGGAGTTCCTGACCAGGGGATATTCTTAACCCTCTTCTTCCAACACCAAATGCAGCTCGCACTACGCGCTTTGTTGCTTTAGCAGTTATAATAAGTAAGAGACTCTGGTCGGGAGTTCCCGACTAAGGGATATCCTTAACCCTCTTCTACCAACACCTTACCTTAGCAGTAATAAAAATAAATTGAAAAAAAAACTTTTCGAAATAGGGCTCGAACTCGTAACATACCACGCTTCTTGCCGCCGTCTCTACCCAACAGCCACACCAACAATTGTATCCTAATGAGAAATAACGGACAAATAGAATTCAATTAAGACGCGCATCAATGAGTGTGTGTACATGTATACAGACATTCTTGCAATTTGCGCTAGCTCCCCAAACAACGGGGGCTGCCAATATATATATAACCCCACGTTTACTAAAGTAACTTCTGTGTTTTTAAACCAATCTTGATGTAATTTTCAACAGTAGATCTTATTGTACTACAGAATATTTGTATATTCTCAAAAAGTCCATTGGATTTAAATTGTGGTGTAAATTGGTGGTTAATACAAACTGCTTTATTTACTTGATGTATAGCTATGTGGTGGTAGCGGGGAGTTGGTGATAGCTATAAAATGAAAGATACTTGATATATATATACTATTTTAGAAGCTACAAGTGAAGTTTGGTGACTCTAGTTCTAATAAAAAAGGTTTGATCAAAAAACAGAATTTCGATTTATATTCATTACCTGAAAACGGGGAAGGTTATCGAATATCGGAAACAAACTCGTACTGCGCGGGCACTGGGAGGACCTACGTTTTAAATTTCAGGTCTCTAGCTCTTATAGGTTCTGAGATCCTTGCGTTCATACTTACAGACGGACGAACGGGCGGACGCACAGACGGATAGACGGACAGACAGACATGACAGATGCTGATCAAGAATATATATACTTTATGGGGTCGGAGATGCTTCCTTCTGCCTGTTACATACATTTGCCCAAATGAACTACACCCCTTTTTCCAATTTTTAATTGTTAAAGACAGGCATAAAAATAAAATTGGCAATATCACCAAGTGCACGGCTTTGTGCAGTGGTGATGAAGAAGATGAAAATCGACCAACATTAAGGAAGACATGTAAGAAAAGAATAATAAAATAGTTCATTGACAGCGGAATGATTAGACTTGATAAACTTGTGCGTGTTTTGTTTCAATATTTTTACAAAATTAATAACAAAATAAAATAAAAACGGAGTTAAATTTCGAATATATCGTATTGCAAAAACTAAAGAACTGAGAGCGATACCTGATACCTCACAGATTTTTACAATTGAATTTCGTTTATTTTATCTGGGCTGGCTGCAAACATAACAGCTTAAATCATCCCAATTGCTTACCTTAATATTTTTGAATACCAAGAGCAATAAATTAGCAGTGTTGACTCTATGGGGAAATCCATAAGCGTAACGGTCGATATTGACAACTTACTTTGTAGAAATTAAAGATGACAGAATGTTCCCAGGTTAGTTTTTTATTTTTTTTATTTATGTTTATTGTTTTGAAAAATAGCGTACATTTTTATTACAACACAGTTGGCTTAGGTGATATTTCACCAAGCTTGGTTGGGTCCTCAGGCTTTATCGTGGAGAATCGTCAAAGGCGGCTTTTCTGAATAAGGCTACATCGTCACGTAGGTAGTCGGGAGACTCTGGGGCGTCTCCTATGTCATAGTTGGAGGAGGTCCTTGAACGATCTTCTCTTGAGGATTCTTGCTACCCGGTTGCAGTGTCGCTGCAATCGTTCATTGTACCGGTTGCGAATTCTCCGACTTGGCTGTCTATGGTCGCCATTGTGAGGTCTCTGTGCAAGGTAGAACTTCTGACGTACTAGTCAGCAGCGGTCATTCGGCGCAAGGCCAAATTTTGGAGTGTCTGAATCCATGTGCGATTTGTCCGAGACGCAATGCCCCATTCCTGGATACCTTATCTCCAAGATGGCGCCACCACCACGTTGTAAACTGCCCGTTTGTAGCGAAGTGGCAATGGGCTGTTGAGGTTTAGTAGCCAGTTGACCTTGATGGCACTGCTAAGCCAGTAAAATTCCAACGTAATTATTGCTTCTGCCAGGATGAAGGGGGCTGCCATCTATCCAGGCTGCTGGAGCCTTGCCACGCCTCAGTTAGGTCTTGACTGCCTGGCACTTCGGGGCATTGAGCTTGATATTCCACCTGCGTGCCTAGCTCTCAAGCAAGTGGATGTATTCCTGGGGCCCGTCAGTTGCTTCGTATTCGCAGTGGGCGGAGTAAAATATTGCTTCGTCAGTGCTTCTGATCTGTGCTTTACATTCATGTGCTGTGCCAGAGAGACATCATAATCCATGATAGTTTTGTTTATTAACAATGAATCCTTTGCCGCTGGGCGCCAAGACACATAGTGTTCTTGAGCCAGATCAGTCGCACTGCGCGTGTTCATACATGGACTCAGAAGTAACCTTACCGATGTTTTATTTTCAGCTCAGCCCAAAGTTTTGCCGTCTGCCATCTGTCGGCAAGGGCACAGGAGATCGAGGCCATTCATGATAGGTACACTTTTGCGACAAACTGTGCAAGGAGTTTGGAGAAGAGAGATAAAAAGTCCTTTCAAAACTAACAGCATTATAAACAAGGCGTCCTAAAAGACAAAGGGTACAACAAAGGGTAAGGCAATGCCCATATTTTAAAAAGAACCAAGGAAGCTAGACGCAGTGATTTTCGCGGGTGCTTCCGCATTTTCGAAACTGCTGCCGTTTAATACGTCGGTCGTCGGAAAAATCCGGATCCAGAACAATGAATCGGTATATTCAAAGTTATATCCGACTTCCATTGCTGCGGTTTTCATCAACAAGGAAGTACAAGATTTGTATCTCTTGCCCATCTAGGTCGCTGTTCAACAATCCGATCTGGGTAGTTATTAAGAAAGGCATTGATAACTCAGGCGCAAGTTAGAAGCGCTTTTCATAGATTTTTGTAAGCTCAATCAAAAAAACATAACGGATAAGTATCTGATGCCAATCACCACTATGATACTATCGAACCTAGGAAAAACTCTATACTTCACGATCTTAGATCTTATATCGGCTACCACAAAATTATCTTTCCGAGTAAGACCGTGAAAAACGTGTTTCTCCGTCAACGGGAAATATAAGAGTTCTATCGACTTCCGTTCAGCTTAAAGAACGCGGCAGGTATTTGCCAAAGGACAATCGATGATGCCAAGAATATTTCTGAACATATTAGGCATATTGGAGAGGTTTTAAGAAGCCTCCAGGACGCCAACATATCTCCCAAAAAAGTGAAATTTTTT